CCGAAGCACATGGCGTAGTGGAACCAGAGGGTCACGCCCTGGTCGGTGGGGAGGAACGTCCCGCAGTGACCAGGGCAGCGCACCGCCCACTGGCGGTAGGCGTTCTGAATGAAGGTCATGGCCGAAAACCTTCGGGTCCCAACCCTCGCACCAGGCGGACTGGATGAAGTCGACAATGTCGCCCAGGAAGTGGCGGGTGGGCACGTCCTCGGCGCTCATGGTGGCGTTGTGGCCCGACCGCCGCCAATCCTCGCTCTGGCGTAGTTTGAGGTCCCCGTTCTCGTCGACCTGGCAGATGGCGAAGGAGAGGGCGGCGAAGCAGTCGCCCAGCGGCGGCTGGCGCAATGTGTGCACGTCAGCCGTCCAGGGCAGCGCCGAGGTTGCCACGGACCAGTGGTCGGGAGCGGCGCAAGGGCCAATAACCCGGCCCAGACGGGCCTCTTGCACCAGCTCTTCCAGGAGGGCTGCCGTGTGGACGCCGGAGCGCCCCCTGGAACACTTGGCCCCCACGTAGGGCGGATTCTCCTGCCGCAGGCGATGCAGGCCCGAGGGGTTAGAATAACGCCCGTCGACCCGCGGTTTCCAGCCCGGTGCGCGGCGGACCGGACCAAGCATGTCAAAGCCCAGGCGCAGGTCCTCCTCAAGGTCCGCGGTCGCGGGGTAGCCGAGGTCGTGGAGCAGGCCCAGGAAGGTTGGCCCCTGAAAAGGCCTGGGGTGGTCCGAGGTCGTGTATGTAGCCCTGACGTGGGCCGGCAGTTCCTGGAGCCAGGCCCGGGTGTCTTCCTCGCGCTCCTCCACCAGGACGAGGAGCTCCGCGATGACCTGCGGATGCGGCAAAGGTCATGTCGCCATTGCCGCCGGAGGTCGATAACCGCCGAGAGGGCCGGCTCCAACGCCGGGCGCCTGGCTAAGGAGTGCCGCATAAGCGGCGCCGAGGCCCAGTGCTGCCCCATGTCCAGTCCCTCGCCGAGGACTGGTGGGGACGGCCTGGGCGGGGGGGAGAAATCCCACGGGCATCCCGCCCAGGCCTGGGTCAGCCACTGCAATGTAGAAGTCCTAGGCGAGGAAGGCAGGCGGCCGGCCTCCGCCAGTGGGGCCGCCCAGGCGGCCAGGACGACGAAGCCCAGGATGCGCCCGGCCACTCCCCAACGCCAGCCGTTGCCTATCATACGATGGCGAGTCCTGTCGTCGGCCCCCGCCTGAACCGTGTAGCCGGTGGGGATGCCGTGCAGCTGCTCCTTGATCTCTGCCGTGGGGAGGTGCAGGACGCCCTGGCTGTCCTGGAGCATGGCCTCGAGCTGGTAGTGCCACGGGGCATATTGGCGCTTGCCGTCGCTCCACCTGGCGTCGGTATCCTTGGACGTCTTCCCTCTGGTGGCCCGAGGTTTGGGCCGGCCCTCGTTGGTGGGTGCCGGCGTTGTGGCGCACGGCATGAGGCGCCGACCCGTCGCGACGGCGGGGTGGAAAGCCAAGCCGCCCAAGTCGAAGGTGTCTGCCGACGGCCTGGCGGAGGCCAGGCGCAGGCGCTCCCATCGGCCCTTCTTAGCCCACTCCAGTGGTGCCCCATCGTCGGGATCGACCTGGAA